GACTTCTGTCTGTGCAATTTCAATATTCCTTGGTGTGATCTTCCTCCAGTAATGTAAGTATTCCTTGTTCCAGACTTTGTCTTGTGGGCGTGGAGTCCCTGAGGCCCAGTTATACTGGTATAGACTAAGGCAGGGGAAGTACCAAGTATCTTGTCCTTTTCTGTGTCCCTGGTTGGCAGTTTCCCTGCCTTGTTCAGCAGTGCGTTAATGTTTTCCCCAGTCTTCCTTTTGCTGCCAATATATTTGTACAGATGTTTTTGTTGCCCTTCAGATCTCTCACCAAATTCAAATCCAGGTGGGCTTTACCTTTTCTAACCTCCTCCATGCGTGATTGGACACAATTTTTATATTCCTGCTTTTACATCCTCTACACATGTTTTTTTTATGTTGGACTTTAATTCCTTCTTCATCCAAGCAGGCCCCCAGACACCTTTGTTTGATTTCCTGCTTGCTAGGATGGGACCTTAGCTTTGGAGGTGATCCTGCAATCACTGGAGATGGTGAGCAGGGACATCAACAGGTTTAGTAGACCTATAGAGCTGTTCTAGCTGCTTTCTTTGTAAGAACTGTGGTACCCGTAACAGTGCTGCTGGGCTGTGGTAATCACCAGGGAGGTCCATCAGCATGATGTGTGTAAGAAGTGTGAATTTTTAATTTCATTCTCAGCACTACTGAACTTGAACTGTGGATCAGGTAGACCTTGTGAATTAGTTATTTGCTTCTAGCCTACTTTAATGTCACTGACCAGGAAGGAAAGAAGTTTACCTAATGTGTCAAATCAGAATGACTTTGACAGTTAGTAGGCAGCTGGAGGGAAAGTCAAATTACTGCATTAGATTGCTTAAATAGCTCCATTTTCTATCAGCATGTGTAGAACTACTTCTAGAGCAAAGTCTAGATAGTTTGGAGACTGGGAAAACAGTAGCACCGTGAATTATGATGTAGGGATCTTGGCAGGCCTCTGGTATCTTCTATTCATACAGACTTCTTTCATCCTGTTTGAAAGGAGTTTGTGAGGCTTATGTTCTGCAACCTCTGTTCTGAGTGCCTGTAAGCATGCAAGCTTAGAAAACAGCTTTAACAGGTATTTATTTGAATTTGAAGCGCATGTGAAGTCTGCAATACCTCCTTAATCCTCAGGAAACCGTAGGGGTTTTTTTTTTTCAGTTTCTCAGTGAAATGTTGTTTGACCAGCACTTGCATAGGTTTCTTGTTAAAGATAAGTCCCTGCTTTTCTTCCCTCCTTAGCTGATGATCACTCCCAGGAATTCCGACTTTTCTCCATATGCTGACCAAATGCGTATGGAAAGAAAAATTTGTTTGACAGCTTAAATAGGCCTGGATAGAACAGTTTTCAATGTATCTCAATTCCAGAGGGAACTAAAAACTTACATATAAAATTGAGATGTGCTAGTGATGCATGCTATACATCTAGTTTATAAACTAGATAAACTGTAAGTCTAGTTTATCTATAAGTAGTGCCTGTCCTTCCTTGCTTCCACTGGTGTCAAATTTTACATGAGTAACACTTGTGTTCAGTTACAAAATGGACTTTGCTGTGCCCTTCTACCATGTAAAGTTAAATACGGGGGTGTGGAAGGTTCCTTTTGAAAACAAAGGTTTACTTAACTTTTCAGACCTGCTTGTTTTCCGTAATTCAGGATTTTATTGTGTCTAGTCCTGTCCCCCAGCCAGTCTGTCTCTTCTCTGGCTTTGAGGCTCCTTAAGGTCATCCTGCCAAGTGTGGCATGGTGCATTATTTCTTAAAGAAGCGCATAAATAAGTGGGCAAGTTCTCTCATTCCTTAGCTGTTGTATTTTTCTACCTCTTGAGTAGCCATTACTGTCCTTGCTGCTTCTTTGGCTGAATGCGGGCAAATTTTTTTCTCTGTTCTCCTGTCTCTGGAGGAGAGGCAGCTTACCTCTCAGTCTATTTGTGCACCTGGGAATATCATCATATCTTTTACTTTTGTCTGTAAAAGAGTAGGAAAATGACTCAAGATCTAGAAACTTTTTTCAAATATGGGTGTATGTAGTGTGCACGTTGAATGTACAGAATAAAAAAAGAATTTTGTTTCAAGCCCAGCTTGCAAGTATTGGGCTTTGGCTGTACAGCCATATAATGGTAGCAGATTTACCACTTCAAGAAAAGAACTGTTTTTACAAAACTTCAGTGTTAAACCCCACAGCTCAGAACTGGCAAAATCAGTCACTTGACCCAGCTGCCGCAGAATCTTCCATACAGCTGGTAGCTGAAGTCTGATTCCTGTTCTTTGCCTGACTTGGAAGACTGTGCTTTCCCCTCAAATCTTTATTTCTGTAGTTCCACTGGTGCTTATTGTCCTTGACTTTGCAAATACTCATCTAAAGAAAATACATGGTTAGTTAAACAAAGTGGTAGAACAGGAGGATTTCTTCTTTTCCTCTGAAAGAGCTGATGTTGCTGGTGGTATTTAGACTTGAGTATTGAACCTGCTTGTCATGAGTCGTGAACCTACTTGTCCTGTCTGAAACTAGGACACTACTCTAGCAAGTTTTAAGAAACTAGAATTACTTGCTTGCCTTTCCTGAAGAACCTGTTAAATTTCTCATCTACCTTGTGAAAGGCTCTTGGAAATCAAGTATTTTCACATGCAGAAACACGCCTGCCATTCCTGTAACATGTATTATCTGGTGTCTTGTTTCCAGTAGTTTACAAGATTCCATCATTGATGCTGCATAATATATGGATAAATTAGTTATGATGCTGCAAAATGGCCATAATCACTTTTTGCTACTGATAGAGAGGCTTCCTCTGGCAGGTTACAGGCACCTAAGTCCTGAACATTTGTGCTGTGTGAATCTTGACTCTAACTAGTAGTTGATATTGTCTTCTAGCAATAATACTATGCTGACTTTCTTAAATGGCAAGAGTCAAGTCAAAATAGAAATCTAATCTATCAATTCCCAACTAGTTTACAAAATGAACTACTATTTTCTGTTCACACTGTATCTTGAAAAAATCACAAGATATCAAAGGCATTCAAAAAAAAATTAAAAACTTTTAACTTACTGGAAAATATCCATTGTCAGTGTTGTGACTGGATTATAGAAGACGTCCCTGTGATGAGAAGCTGAGGTGGAAAGATTTGTCCCAAGTCACATAGCAGATTCCTGCCATGACCAGATGTCAGGAATAGTTTTTAGTATTTGGTGAGGTCTTTGTGGTTCATTGTTTTTTTTAGTTAGCACCATAGACACTGAATTCAACTTTGCTGAAGGGTCTGGGGCTTTCTGCCTGGCACGTTGATGGTGGTAATTTTCACAAGCTTTTCTGTGGATAGTTCCCTAGGGCATATTTCTAATAATATAAAAGAAAAGCGAGGAGCCATGTAGAAGAAAGAGGACTGAGTAATCTTTAGTTCAGTGGGCTCAGCTCAGTGGAAAATAAACTGTTCTTCAGTGTGGCTTTACTGGAGTTGAAACAAACTGTATGGAAACTCGGAAATTGCCATTCTTGCTGTAAAACTGGACACAGGCAGCTTTTCTGTTACGATTAAGTTTGCACATCTTCACCAAAAAAGTAAATTGAGGAGAAAAGGCTGAGGTTATTCCTAGCTGCCTGTGTGGGAGATCAGAACACAGGTCTCTCGCTCTTGTGTGGTTCTGATGTTAAAAGAGCAGATGTGGCTCGCAGGGCTCTATATTGAATAGTGTGTTACCTTGGACAGCTGCAAGTTTTGTAGGTCAGCCCTATTCAGCCAGCTTTGGAAGACACCTTGCACAAAGCATCACTGAAGGATCACAGCAGTGTTCAGGGTACTGCTTATTTAGTCTTTGGAGTGTTGCATCTCAATTGCCTTTTTTGGTTTGCTTCCACAGGAGTCTTTAAGAATCTACTGATAACGCATGGAAATGAGGCAGGGGGAGAATTTGAAACCAATGTCAAAGGGTTAGGGAAAAGATACATTTACAGAGAGAAGTTCCACCTGCCCAGAGTTGGCTGATCCTGCATTGCAGGGAGGGAAGGAAAGGAGAGAAATCTGACCACTTCTTGAGGCTCCTTTTTACCTTTACATTTTGTACAATAAAAACCCCAAATAAAGTATTTTGTCCTGTCCTATCCCATCCCACAAGCATGGATGTTCTGTTCTAATTTTTCCTGTAATAGGGATAAACCACTTGTACAGTCTTCAGTGGGAGGTACGGAACTCTTCAGCATGTTGTTTTTGTAGCATATGTCTAAGGATTGAAGAATCTAATTGATACTCTTAATAAAATATTTTTGACTGACACTTTTGAGACAGCAGATAAAAACTTCTGTCCAAAAGCACCTGAGAAGCTCACTGTTACTTCACATTTGTTGTAAGACCTCTGCATTGCAAGAATCGGCAAGCTGCTGAACAGCTGAAATGCAAGTTGCAATCCTGTTTCCGCCATTCATTTGTAGGCCTATAGAAGTGATGCAGCAGAGTTAATCTTGATGTCATGAATGATTATGTGTCATTTGGTAGCAAGCTCAACACATGTACAAAGAGCACAGCACTTGAAAAACACTTGGAACCTCTGAGTGCTTTGGACTGCCTTTCTGTGGTTTTGACTTAGATATCAAATTGAAATATTTTTTCTTTGTATTTTTTAATGATTCCTAATGACAATTAAAGGAAAAAATTCTTGGATAGTCTTAAATTTTTCTTTTTAATCTTATAGTAAGCTAACTGAGAACACTTTTTCTCCACCAAGGCTTGCTGGCGCGTGTACCTAGCTTTTCTCCTTTATTTGATTGTAGTTATTAAATTATATATCAGTTCATGCAGTCAGCCTCTGCTGTGTGGTCTATGTTGCATTCCTTTCAGTGTGTTCACAGAAGCCAGCACCAAAAAAACCATGTAACTGGCTTTTCAAGTTAACTTTTCTGGCTGCCCTTAAAAATATTGCAATGTCTGAGAAAAAAGGCACTGTCCTACTTCAGCTGTTTTTAAAGTATTTGATTTCTAGGTTTTTTACTTCTTTTTTCCTAAGGTTTCCTATGCGCGACCAAGTTCAGCTTCTATCAGAGATGCGAATTTGTACGTTAGTGGACTTCCAAAAGCAATGACCCAGAAAGAACTGGAACAGCTCTTTTCCCAATATGGACGCATTATTACTTCTCGTATTTTGGTGGATCAAGTCACCGGTAAGTAGGCAGCTTTGCATTTCCTCTTATCTTTGGACTGACAGTTTAAGAAATATTTCACCTTTCAGTAGAATAGTCTTGTCTCTAGAATGTACGAAAGGTGTATGTAGGCCACAAAAAGCAATTTTATGCTGGAATTGTTCATAAATATGCATGGACAAAAATAAATTGTGGAGTGTACTGAGCCAGCTTGAGTAATTTCCACCCTGAAGGTGCAGGTTTGAAGGCTGTTTCATGGCTTGTAATAAATTTACAACTGCTATAATCCTCCTTTCCAGGCTGCTGTGTGAAAATAGTCCCTATGTGCATTATGAAATGCTATTAACACTTTTTTTTATAAAAATGAAGTTTTTTGTAGAAATGCACAGCTGGTTCTTTGAAGCTAGGATTACAAAAGACCTAGACTGGTAATTGTTGTTAAGACTGTTTTCAAGGTTGCCTCATTAACTTGGGGCATACTGAAGAACATGAACTTTGAGTTCCTTGAGAGAAGTTCTGTGCTTAGCAGTGCCTTAAAGAACTAAGCTCTAGCAGATTAGTTGTGTTGTTACAGTATGTGTCTTAGCCAGTGAGTGGCTGTCAGTGACAGTCTGGTTACTCTTCAGACTTGGTCAGTAATGCATGTGTTTTTCACTGTCTCAAATGGCTGTTCTTGAGGAAGTTTATATCTTGCTGCCTCATCTGCTTCCAGCAGGCCTGTTCCAAAAATAAGCAATTGAATGCCAAGTACATGACAGAAGTATTGAGTGTGCAAAGCAAAACACAAAGGAGCGGGGCTCTCCAAATTCTCATCTTCCCAGAAAACTAGTGGTGTGGAAGAATTCATTTACTCACATAATAATTCCCTGAATGATCTAGCTTGGATTTTTTTATAGTTGTACCTTTTCATAGTCACATGTCACTGTGGGTGACAAACAGCTTTCAGTTGTAGGAGGTCATAAAGTTTTCACATGGTCTTAACCTTGAAAGGATGGTGCATGCCAGTGTTTGACACTTGTTTGACCTCATATGTCTTACTTTGCAATTCCATTATGTTAACAGAAGTCTCAATATTGACACATAATACTTATGGAGTGTTTTGATAGTGTGAGTTGGTAAGTGTAGAGAAGCAAGAAAAGGAAAGCTAAAGGCCAAATACTGACTTGTAGAAGCAGCAGATTTGCAGGTCAAATTTCCAGTCTTTGTGCAATAGTTATTTACAGTATGTTCCTGTATATTCATGCATAGAAATGGTGTAATTTGACAAATGTGTCAAGTAAAGGTAATTAAACTTTTAAATGTGTACTGTAATTCTAAGTAGTCAAATCCTAGTATGTGCAGAGTAGTTCTCTGGTATAGACTGTTCAGGTTTAAGCTTTCTCTCTTCCTTCTTAGCAATTTGGAAGAGGTAGACTCAAAATGGTATGAATAATAAGGTTGTGACACAAACTGACAGATAAAAATGGGAAGTTGAAGCTGTGATATTTGCCTCTTTAAAGCTTTCTTATGCCTGCTTATTGTCACTTTGATGGTTTAAATTGTCATTGTTTAGGAACAGAATACATTTCTTACTGTTAATGTCTTTCTGAAGTGAGGACAAGTGTCTAATTTGTCTGTTTATTCATGAACCAAAATATAAGGGGCCTCTAGGTTTAGGAATATTATAACAAAGCATGCAACTAACTAGTGTTGGCTGTAGTAGCTTTAATGTTAATTGGTTCAAGTATTGAAACCTCAGTGTGTTTATATTTAAGCCACAGTATAAATTTTTGAGGTGTGATGCTCCTAATACCTTCCATAGCTGATCCTCTTGCATGTTGTCTTTTGACTTACCTGTACCAAGGAAGAATCTGGGGCCCAAGAAAATTTTTTTTTCAAAAATGACACCTACAATAGTATGGTGGTATGCTGAAACTGAATCTTTTAGTTAGAGGTAACCATGGACTATTGAAAACAGGCCCATAATTCCCATTACTGTAATCTAGAACCTGCACTCCATTCTTTGTTCTCTCAGCATATTTGCTCCAAAGGGAACTTCAAGGGGTGCTGCAGAAGAGCATAAGCCATTTCTTGCTGCTAGGGAGCAGATCACTAATATATAGAATTTCTGTGAATTTAGATACTGCAGAGCAGCATGAACTGAACAGAGGTTGCAGTGCAGCTGATTCTGGGTTCACTCCACACACACACACACCCCCCTCCCCAAATTGCTTTGTTTCAGAATTACCCTTTGGCTCACTACGTTTAAATAGTCTCCACTGTGCTTTCCCCCAGCCTTCCAAGCTTTCTACACCATGCGTCTTATTGTCAGTTAAATTTAAAAAAAAAAAAAGGAAAAGAAAGACTTAGAGTAGAAAAGGCTTGCTACTTTGTGCAAAAACTGAGTTCTAGTAAGTTTGAAATTACTGTGTGTTCACAGCAGTTGTCCATTAATACAGCAATTGGCTATGAAAAACAAATGTTAATGCCTAATATTCCAGAGTCTCAGAATTAATTACTATATGCTTCCTTCACCCTGTGCAGGGGTGTCCCGGGGCGTGGGATTTATCCGGTTTGACAAGCGAATTGAAGCAGAAGAAGCTATCAAGGGCTTGAATGGCCAGAAGCCTGCAGGTGCCACAGAGCCCATCACTGTAAAGTTTGCTAACAATCCAAGCCAAAAAAACAATCAGGCCATCCTTTCCCAGCTGTACCATTCTCCAAACAGAAGGTATCCAGCACCTCTAGCTCAGCAGGCTCAACGTTTTAGGTAAGTCAAATACATACCTGCTTCCAATACAGTTGCACACCACATGTTCCCATGGGCCACTCTTTTCCTTCTCTGTCTCATTTCTGTGGAAATGAAGGAAGGAAACACATGAAAATGTTGAACTTCAGCTATGCTCCAACAATACAACTGAAAGCAAAAATACATTCCATCCTATTGCAGTTCAGTAGCTAATCAATCTACTTAGAGTTAAACTGAGATGACATTTTTTTCTTCACACGGTCACTTAAAAAAAACCTTTTTAAAGATTATCTTTAGTTTCCTAGGTTATTGTTGATTAATGTGCAAGTTGATTCAGTTTACATTGACCTGGGCAACTCAATTTTCTTCTTAGCTGTGTGGCATGCCACAGCCAGCCTCCTCTTCCTCACCTCCTATCTTTCCTCACCATTCTTGCTTTCAGTTTTTTTCTAGACAATTGTCTAAATTCTGTATGCCACACTGTCTTCTCTTATTACAAACTTACCTAATAAAGATTATTTCAAATGCTTTCTGCATATGTTTTTTGTGGATATATGTTGATATTGTGCTGAAACTACAGCCATACAGTTCCCCATGATATTTAGTGTATTGTGAAGGATAGATGGTGAGAAAAACTTGAAACAAATGTTACATTATCTACATTCATGAGTATCTCAGATTTTTTCAGAGATTTTTGTCGTTTCTTCCCACCCTCTGCCCCTGGGCTATGTGACTGGAATGTGTTAAACAGTAATATACTCAAACAGTTTGTTTTACTTTTCAAGAAATAAAATCAGCTAGCAGTTTGCTTCAAAGAGAATATTTTTTTAATATTCTTTTTAAAGCTCTGCATTGGCTACCCTTGCTTTTAGGCCACATGTTCAGAATTCATGGACTGCACTTTTGGCAGAACTTATGAATTCTTCTTTTCTTCAGCTTTTCAGTCTTATGTGCTGCAAGTCTCACAGGTGTGAAAGTCAGGTCTAGAGTAGACTTTCTGCCTGAAGGGAAGGAATAGCCTTCTGGGTGGCTATTAATAACTCTGGTGGATTTTCTTACCATTTCTTAGGGAATAAAAGGGTTAACTTAAACAGTATGCTGAATACTGAATAAAAGTAAGCTTGCCGTTGTTCCATAGGCAGAGCAGAAGTTGCACTTGCAACATGGATCCAAGTGCATTATATTAAATAAGGTAACGAGGGAACTGTTCTACAGCCTGTGTGTCACAGCATTCAGCATACTCTGGCGAAGTGTGGCCTGTTGACTTCTTGCGTTCTTCTGAGTGTAATTGTTACCGAACACAACCAAGTACCTGGCATTACCCTGAATACTGGCTGGGATAGCATCTGTATTTAACTGATAGCCCAGGCAGATCTATTATGATTTGGAAAAGTTCTCCGACTTTTGATGTTTCTGTTGGGTAGAACCTAAAGTGTTTTGCAGTTAAGTAAGTTCAGTAGACTAGCCCTGTCCTGCAACATTAGGCTTTAAACCTTAGATTTTGATTGTTCGTGGGTTTTTTTGTTTAAAAAGGAAGTATATTTTTATGAATGCCCATCTAAATGGGCTCTGTATGTTAGGGGGTGTTTTGATTG